ATGCGATCCCCCCCCCCCCGCCATTTTCGCCACCGTCGCTGCTTGTCCTGCCGAATAATCGAGCTTTGATAATTGGACCAGGGAGTGTGATATATTACGTCATGCAACCTGCGGCCATCTTCACGTCCAGAACGTGCTGCCGCTGGCGATGTACAGAACTCCTCTTACCCGAATCTTGTACTGGTCCTTCTCGAGAGCAGGCTGGTTCTGCAGGTTAGGCTTTCGGGCGGAGAGTCGCCCCGTCTCCGTGTTGAGGTTGAGGCTGCAGTGCACCCGGCTCTTTTCGTCCACCAACTCCTGTCAAGAAAGGCATCAGCAGCAATAGCAGCAGAGCAGCAGCAACAACAACAGCATCATCAGCAGCAGCGGCGGCGGCCGCAGCAGCACCCGCATTAGCAGCAGCAGCAGCAGCAGCAGCAGCAGCAACAGCATGCACCCGCACACGACGTTGCCGGGGAGGAACAGCCATGCACAAATAGCACGCGCTTTTCAACCTGGGGCTTCGGTCGCGTCGAAGCACGCGCCTCCTTCTACAACATCATCCACCACTCTTAGACGAGAGAGAAAACGAGCAAAACACTCCCATGCCTTCCGTCTACATGCACAAACAACAACCCGCGGTGGTCCCGTACTCCTTACTTGAAGGGGCTGCAGGAAGTTGGACACCATCGTGTCGACCGAGCCCATGTTGCAGAGCGCGTACAGAGCCTCGCATGCCTCCTTCCCCTCCTGCCCGCCTCCGAAGTGCTCGTACGCGGCGCCATACTTTGGCGGGTCCTGCCCAAAGTTGATGGTTCCGGTTGGTTGTCCGGGTGTTGGTTTGGTTCGGATAAGTGTCGGGTTGTTTCGGTTCGGGTGGTTCCGAGTTGTTTGGGTTCACCCGGGTAGTGGCGGCTTTGTCCCGGTTCGAGGTTGTTTCGGTTCGGGTTGTTTGGGGGGTATTCCGGTTGGCCAGACGCGTCACCAGCAGGTTCGTGACAGGGGAAACAAGTTTTACCAGGAAATAGAACAGGGAGAGGGGGTACGCAGACCCTATCCAACTCTGTAGATCCTAACCCAGCTTCCCCAATTGCATGGATATTGGTACTCAAAAAATGAAGTCGTTACTACAAGACATTGAGTATGACATCACAGAGGGACTACTGCTGTACCCATTCCTCATGATTTTCAACAAGATAAGACTTCTGAGTCTTTTTTGCTGCGGGGCCGTTTGAATGGCACTTGCTTGGATACCGCGCTTTGCGTTTGGGTCTGCTCAGGTCCGCACACTGAGGGTTTCCGCCGTTCGCAGGTCCCAACGCACCGACTTACAAGTTCGTTCCGAAAGATAACAGTAGCAGCAGTAGCACCAGCATCAGCACCAGCAGTAGCACCAGCAACAGCAACAACCGCATCCACACAAAAACGTCCACGTCACCAACACCAGTAACACCGGCAACAACAAGTACAAAACGATGACGGCAACGGCAACCAACCGCAGCAAGACTTACCTCATGCGGGTTTCCCGCGAGATGGCTGAGGACATCCATGGACACAGCGGGAGAGCCCCCAGCCGTAAACTTGGTTGGCTTCATGTTAACGCTGGAGATCGTCAGGTCGCGATACTTGGTCATCTAGGGATGGGGGGTTGGGGGGGGCACACACGATCAACATGGCTGTAGGAAAAGGCCAAGGCATCAAGGGCGCTAAGGCCGCTTCGCCATTGAAACCCATGCTACGAATATAATTCCTCTCTCCCTCGCTCGCTCTACAAGCAGTCGTAGTCCAATTCAAACCCGGCCGACAATTAACGCCGCCAAGTCCTGCCTCGCGCCCCACCCCGTGCAGCGATACAGAGACAGTAGCCGGCACGCTAAACGTCAAGGTCGAGGTTCAGTTTCTCGTCACCGTCTAGCACACAGTAACACCGAGCTGAATAGCTGCCTTTGTTCACCCCCAACGTCTTGCGGTTTTCCATGAAATGACAAGATAGCGCTCTTTTACCAAAGTCGTTTCATGGGTAAGAAAAAATACCACCTTCGGTGGAGGCTTCTTTTTCTCTTCCTCGGCCTCGTCACTAGCCGCCCGCAGGCTGATCTGAAACTTTGCCTCGTCCTTCGAACAGAAGCAGGATCGACCGAACAGGACGTGGGGGGGGGGGGGGGGGGGGGGGGGGGGGGGGGGGGGGGGGGGGGGGGGGGGGGGGGGGGGGGGGGCATGCGCGCGCTTGTCTGTCTCCCTCATTATCATCACGCACATGCATGCACAAAAAATGCCACCGAAGCCAGCAAGAAACCTCCTGCTGACGATTGGTTAAAAAATCGGTGCTTTGTTTTTGGTTCTGAAGAGATGCATTTGAGAGGTCAACTTGAGTTTTATTCCTACTGAATCGAAGCACGTGTCTTGACGGGGGTGCTATGTGTGAGACGGGTTCGACTGCATTCGGAAGGGACACATAGGCGACATCCAGACGGGGTCAAGGACAAAAAAGACAGAGATAAATTGAGGGGGAGGGGGGGGGGTAGCGACACAAAAACAGACAACAGCAAAGGAGGGCTCACACACTTCCCGAACAAAAACCACAGAACCAGAACAAAAAAAATCAGTCGCCCGAGAACGATTACCGTAAGCTTTTTAACCAGCTCTTTCTTAGTGCCGTCCTCGTTCATGCCCCTCGTTGCGCACGCGTTCTTGAGATCCTTCGAGCTCATCGTCTTGAAGATAGCTCCGATGTCCTCCTTCTCCTGAACATCCCGACAAACAAATGCGCGGCACATGGGATTTTTACACAACTCCTGTTTTTTGTTAATCCTTTTTTTTTTTTTCGTCTCTCCTACCGATCGCTGCCCGTCCTTCTTGTCCGAAACGAAACGAAACGAAACGAAAGAGAGCAAATGAGGGTACTGTACCTCCCCTTTTTCATTTTTTTTTTCTTCCCATCTCAGTCAAAACAGACAGAGAGCGGTGGGTGGAGAGAGAGGCAGAGCAAGAGAGGACTAATCAAGTAACTACCATAGGTTGCGGCGTACGCCACATTGTAGGTTTCGTCATTGGATCAACACACGCGACAACCGCCTGTGGCCAAGAGCGTTCATAAAAAAAAAAAACGCACTCTCCTCCTGCAGTGCCTACCGCAGCCTTAGAAATGGGGCTAGCGGATGGCAATCGCAATTAGCTGTCACCAACGTTAGGTGCTGTAACGTTGATCGACGATCGGGTCGCCTTTTCCTCGTCCGCAACAACAACAGTGATGACGGTACACAATCGCCAGAGCACCCAACACACCAGATCGCAAGCACGACAATTTTTCACCGTTTACGTAGAGCACACAGCGAGCTCCGCCGTACACACGGGGCACCAAAGATACTATCATAGATCGCCAGCACCACAATTTTCCACCATGTCCATGCAGCGACTAGCGTGCTCCGCTGTATATTATACTATTTGTATACCCCCATCTGCTATTCTACCCGTCACCACCGTCGCGGTATGGAAACTCGACACACGTGCACTAACAAGTAGCTTACCGCTTACCCCCTCCGCGCTTGGTGGTATGAGAGCCTGGTCCGGTGAGAACCCGGCGTGCTCCGTCCCGGCCTTGTAGGGATGCGAGGTCAATGGTCTAACGACTACGGCATGCACGACTATNCAATGGCCTAACCGCTAAGGCATGCAAAACATAGGAGTACGCCTCCCCCCCCCCCCCCCCCCCCCCTCCGCACAATTGGTTTCATCACGCACTGTCTGCTACTCCTGTTCACCCGTACTTTGGACCCACTAGGCCGCAAAAAAACAACCGTCATCACCAGGGACGCCTGTGGCCGTGCCCCCCCCCCGACTCACCTCTCCGCGGATCCTTGCCAGCAGCACGTCCTTCTTCCCCGTTACCTTCTTACCCATTTCCTGAAACGTCGCGTATCAAGCAGAGATCGAACGCAAACACAGGCGACGATAGCAAGAGAGGTCTATTGTGTGAGTCTGACAGACTGCTACAGCTACCATACATTTGCGATGACCGGCACTATAATTCTTACCGCGTACATTGCCGCTGCTGCTGCTGTTGTTTGCTAGGCAGCTAGTTGCTGCTACTGCTGCTGCTGCTGCTGCTGCTGCTGCTGCTGCTGCTGCTGCTGCTGTTTGTGACGTCTTTGTAGCGCTGAGACCGCTGCTGAATGTAAAGCCCAACCGAAGCCAACAACAACCGCGAAGAAAAAGCATCAGCCCAATACCCAGCCGTGTGACAAAAACGCTGCACACAAAACCGTAGCTGTGCAGCTGTGTAGCTGCCTGCACCACGGAAAGAAAAGACGAAAAGAAAAGACGAAGACCAAAACAGCCTCGGTTTTCAGCACTCTCTACGCAGGTTCAAAGCAGCATCCTGTCTTGGTCCCTTCGGAGTTTCGAGATTGTCGTGGTTGGTATCCACGAAATGTGCACCGCACAGTACCTTTGATCGCCCCGCCCCCCCCGGTGTTTGCCATCGGGATTGGGTTTTCGTCTCTTGGCAAAGACGTTGTAAAACAAGCCAATTCACTTCGTGAACTCGGCAACCAGGTTACCGTTTTTTTTTTTTACCTCCGTTTTTTTTTTTGGGCGGTAACCATAA